AGACTAGTGGGGCTTTAGGGGACAACATTAGAGATAAACTTTCATGTGTAATATTTTACCTGTAGGAAAGTGTATTCTATGTTCTAAATAGTTGATTGGAGAGACTTTTGGATTGTGATTCTTTATTTGGGAGAGAACGCCTGCCTTACAGTTAGGTCACATTCAGCTCTGCCATAGGCTGTACCCTCTTGGTTAATCTCTATACAATGAGGGCATAAGTCTAAAGCAGGGTTTTTCAAATTTAAATTGTTTAGGCAAAAAGGCAATATATAAAAAGGATAAAATCTAACTTTGATACTCTGGTTGTACTAGAAGGGGGAAATCCAGAGAGCTCCAGCTCTTTGAATGCTACTCTTCCACATCCAGTACTTGAAGAAGACAGTGAGGCTTTTTATGGTTTCAAAAGCACTAGACCAGGAGATTTTTTTCCCGAGAATGAGGATATTTAACACAAAAGGTAGAGTTAATCTGTTTCTAAAATTCAACTCATTCTAGTTATGTACGGTCTCTTTAACTGTACTTCCCTCCAAATAAGAATAAATTACTATAGACTGTCAATGAGGACTTCTTAGATTTGGTTGGAGTCTTAATCCTTTATAGACAAAAAGTGACAGTTGATTTGGCAGAGTGAAAGTATACTCAATTTAGGAAAGCAGAACTCTCAATCTGAGTACACAGATGTGGGTCAGGAACATAAAAATAAAGATTGGGTCATGCAAAAAAAAAAGATACTATGTTACAGTTTTTAGTCCCTCTGTCTCCTTTTTAGTGCATGACAACCAACCACTTAGGTAACCAAGGGCCTTACCTGCTCCATTCAGGATTAATTAAGATGAGAGTAGGCTTTTTTGCATATTCTCCCTCTTTTATATAGAAATGTAACTCTGCATATGGAATTTACTGTGACTTTCCTGGGACTGGAGTAGGAGCTGAAGTAGAAGAGGAAAAAAGAATCCATTAGTCCAGGGGAAAAGTTCTAGTTGTGCTAAAGTCAGAAAAAAAGTGAGTACGCCAAAACATTAGAGAGGTTGGAGTTGTTAGATATGGTGAACCACACTTGAAATACCTGAGCAAGAATCAGAAACTGGATGGAAGCCTAGTTTAGAATGTTAACTTTGGTGCAGAAGCAATAAGAAGACTCATGATACACTTTTTCTCTTTTAAGTGTTGTCTCATTGTTAGGAGTGGGCTCACCAGTTGGCAGATTGTTTATTTTGTGTGAGAGAGAGGGAGGGAGAGGGAGGGAGGGAGGGAGGGAGGGAGGGAGGGAAGGAGGGAGAGAATCCCAAGCAGGCTCCATGCCATCAGTGCAGAGCACAACACAGTGCTCGATCCCACAAACCATGAGATCATGACCTGAGCCAAGCGACCTGGTTCGCTTAATTGAGTGAGCCACCCAGTCACCTCAGGGCTATTTTAAATCTTACTTACTTTCATTTCCTCAGATTGAGAACATGCTTTTGTGAGGAGACTTGTACTTGATGGGTTTGTTAAATGGCCAGATGAGGTTTGACCATGCTTGGCTTCTCACTGTTACTTTCTTTTGACATAAAATGAAGTACTTACATTTTAGTGAAGATCATGAAAATTTTAATTATGTTAGTTTAACTCATACAAACTTGGAACAATGAGATGTCAATTTAGGAAAATTATTTAAAAAAATTTTTTTTAATGTTTATTTATTTTTGAGACAGAGACAGAGCATGAACAGGGGAGGGTCAGAGAGAGAGGGAGACACAGAATCTGAAGCAGGGTCCAGGCTCTGAGCTGTCAGCACAGAGCCCAATGCAGGGCTCAAACTCACGGATCGTGATATCATGACCTGAGCCGAAGTTGGACACTTAACCGACTGAGCCACCCAGGCGCCCCTAGGAAAATTATTTTTAAATGAATTATAGTACTTCAGTAGGAGGATAAAGTCAGTAACTTTTAGAAAAGTGGACTGGAAGAAGTATTGCCCAAGAGAAACAATAAAGTCCATTGCTTTGACATACAAAAAATTAACTGATGGTTCTTTTCTGTTTTGATAAACATATTAAATAAAATAAGCAAAATACATTGATTTCTATGTTAAGCAGTCCTTTCACCAGGTAGATCTTAAATCATCTTAAATACATTTTTTGATGTGATAAAGGATAGTGGTTGGTATTCATAGCCTCTGCTTGTGTGATGGAATGATGAACTATAATCTTTCTTGTTAATATAGTATAGTGCAGTGATTAAAAGCATGGACTTTGAAGGCAGAAAAACCTGGATTCAGGTCCTTGTGACACCACTTTGAGATTTAGTGTCTTCAGGGGTAATAATAATCCTTGCCTCTTAAAGGTTGTTTTGAAGTGAATTAGGACTTTTGGGTACAAATGACAAAAACTCCATTTAAGCTAGCTTAACAAAAAAAATTGTATTGGCTCATGTAACTGGACAGTTAATTGGAATGCTGGCTTTAGGCATGCTTCAGCTCAAGCAATGTGGTCCCAGGGCTTAGGCTTTCTCTTCATCTTAACATTGCTTTTCTTTCTGTTGGCTTTGCTCTAGGGCAGGCTTTACTTACATGGCATCTCTAGGTTTGTTTCATCTTCATAATTAGCAATCCTAGAGAAGAGAGCTGGTACCCTCCTCCCCACACACACACTTCCATCTAGATCAGTCCTGGGGTCACACTCAAGTCTTTGGTTCAGTCCTGTTGTTGGCATTTGTAGGGGTTCTTATGAATTTTGGATATTAAACCCTTTACAGAAATATTATTTGCAAGTAGATTTTCCATTCTGTGGGCTATCTTTTCTCTGTCTTGATAGTGTCTTTTCATGGTCAGAAGTTTTTAATTTTGATGAAGTCCGATTTATCTGTTTTTGTTGTGTGTATGTTCAGGGTATGTGATACTTAAGAAACCATTGCCAAATCCAGTGTCATGAAGCTTTTTTTGCCCTTTGTTTTTTTCTTAGAATTTAGTTTTTGCTCTTACGTTTAGGTCTTTGATCCACTTGAGTTAATTTTTGTGTATGATTTTCGGATAAGGTTCCATCTTCATTACTTTCAATGTGATGTCCCATTGTTCCTGTACCATTTGTTGAAGAGACTGTTCTTTCCCCCAATGAATAGTTTTGGCACCCTTGTATGAAGAGCAATTAACTGTTTATGTTAGGGTTTCCTTCTGGGCTCTCTATTCCATTGGTCTATACATCTGTCCTTAGGCCAGTACCACTTGGTTTTTATTACTGTAGCTTTGTAGTAAGTTTTGAAATTAGGAAGTGTGAGTACTCTGTCTTTGTTCTTTTTCAAGATTGTTTTTGACTATTTGAAGTCCCTTGGGATTTGGTATGAATTTTTGGATAAGTCTGTTTCTGCAAAAAACATAGTTGGGATTTCATTGCATCTGAAAATTGTTTTGGAGAGTGTTGCGTTCTTCGTGGTTAATTAAGTCGTTCAGTCCATGACGCCAGGTTATCTTTCCATGTATTTAGGTCTTCCTTCATTTCTTTAGCACTGTTTTGTAGTTATCAGTGTATAAGTTTTGCCTACTTTGGTCAAATTTATTCTTTAGTATTTTATTTTTTGATGCTATTGCAAATGAGGTTGTTTTCTTAATTTCCATTTCAGATTGTGTATTGCTAGTCTATAAAAATACAATCGATTTCTACATGCTGATTTTGTGTCCTGCAACTTTGTTGAATTTGTTTACTAGCTCTGACAGTTTTTTTGTGCATCCCAGTACTTTTTTGATCACTCATTATTCCTCTTGTAAATGTGCCTGATGATGGTTGAGGATAAAATGAGGTACACATGAGGTGCCTCAAATGAGGTTCCTCAGATGAGGTACATGTGAAAACTGTTGTAAACTAGAAGCTCTATGAATATTAGATTCATGATCTCTGGTATATTATGCATTATGCAAAAACAGTGGACTGGTAGGTTTCAGATCAGAGATTGCAAATTCAAGCTTTTTTATTAGGCTGTAGAGTTTGGGGTATCTTAAAAACTCATTTATTTTTTTAAATATTTAAATTTTTTTAATGTTTATTTTTGAGAGAGACGGAGACAGAGTGTGAGTGGCGGAAGGGCAGAGAGAGAAGGAGTCACAGAATCTGAAGTAGGCTCTAGGCTCCAAGCTGTCAGCACAGAGCTGGACAAGGTGCTCAAACCCACGAACTGGGAGATCATGACCTGAGCTGAAGTCAGACGCTTAACTGACTAAGCCACTCAGGTGCCCCTATTTATTTATTTTGAGAGAGAGAGAAGGGTGAGCATGGGAGCAGCAGAGAGAATCCCAAACACAGAGCCTGATGCAGGGCTCAGTCTCACAAACCGTGAGATGACCTGAGCCGAAATCAAGAGTCAGTCACTCAACCAATTGAGTCACCCAGGCGCCCCATAAAAATCATTTATTTTTAAATAGGTAATGTATATACTTGGTTAAAAACATTGAGATTGTGTATTGCTAGTCTAGCACAAAAATTTACATAGTAAAAACTAAATCTGCCTCTTGCTCTTATTCCCTAGTCACCTAGTTTTGTTCCCAGCAGTAAACACAGCAGTTACCAGGTTTGCGTATCCATACCTATATAAGCAAAAACATGTGTACATGTATGTATGCGTATATACACACACACACACACACACACACACACACACACACACACATACACTGTATTTTAAAAGAATTGTGATATGTACACATTGTTCTGCACCTCACTTTTTTTTGTTACTTAGGAACGTATTAGAGGTCTTTCCACATCTCTTCATAGAGTTCTATGTGGTACTGTTTTTTTTTTTAACGTGAGTACTTTTAGAACAAGAACCACTCCCTGTTGTCTTTTGCTTGCTGACTTGACATGTTTTATGTTATTGCCTTTTCTGAAGGCATTTGAATTTTTTTTGAAGGCATTTGAATTTTTAACCCCTGACTTGGATACATGCTATAGTTATGTAGCCTAGAATGAAGTCCTTTGATAATCATTGTATGTATTATGTAATAACGTTTGCTTTAATCATTTTCTTTTTAGTTTTGATGAAGCAAGAACACAAAGAAGAGGTTGACTTGTCTTCAGTTCCGTCATTGTCTGTGCCTCATCCTGCCCAGACCCAGAGGCCTTCTTCAGACACAGGACACCCACATAACAGTGTACTGTCAACACAGAGAAGCTTGGTTTGTCCCATCCAGCAAACATATGCATCTATGGTAACTTCATCTCGTCTGCCACAGTTGCAGTGTAGGGATGAAAGCGCTGGTAAAGAACAGCATATGTTACCTTCTTCAGTCATGCACCAGCCTTTTCAAGTCACACCAACACCTCCTGTGGGGTCTTCCTATCAGCCTATGCAAACTAATGTTGTGTACAACGGACCAACTTGTCTTCCAGTTAATGCTGCCTCTAGTCAAGAATTTGATCCGGTTTTGTTTCCACAGGATGCAGCTCTTCCTACTTTAATAAATCTTGGCTGTCAACCATCGTCATCCATACCTTTTCATTCTTCAAATTCAGGCCCAACAGGACATCTCTTAGCCCACACACCTCATTCGGTACAGACCCTGCCTCATCTGCAGTCAATGGGATACCATTGTTCAACCACAGGACAGAGATCTCTTTCTTCTCCAGGGGCTGACCAGGTCGCAGGCCAGCCTTCCCCTCAGTTACAGCCCATTACATATGGTCCTTCACATTCAGGGTCTGGTACAGCAGCTTCCCCAGTAGCCTCTCATCCCCTGGCTAGTTCACCACTTTCTGGGCCACCATCTCCTCAGCTACAGCCTATGCCTTACCAATCTCCTAGCTCAGGAACTGCCTCATCACCATCTCTAGCCACCAGAATGCATTCTGGACAGCACTCAACTCAAGCACAAAGTACAGGCCAGGGAGGTCTTTCTGCACCTTCATCCTTAATATGTCGCAATTTGTGTGATCCAGCTTCATTTCCACCTGATGAGGCAACTGTGAACATTAAGCCTGAACCTGAAGAGCAGGAACCTAACTTTTCAACAATTGGTCTACAGGACATCACTTTAGATGATGGTAAGTTCATCTTTCTCTCCTTCAAGCAGTGAAGATCCAGGAACTTTCTTCTCTGATAGTCTTAAAAAAGTTACCATGGATTGCTTATTGGCATATGGCCTATGGTTGGGCTTTTTTTTTTTTTCTTTAATAGTTGTTGTCACTAGAAATATGTTAATTAAAGACTTTGAGAATAGACATGAAAATTTATACTTTGAAATCTAGTTTACCACTAATACCTACTGCAAAAGGTAAGACTTTGAATCATAGTCTCTTACCCATTTGTGATGGAACTAAGGACATGAGATTTATTGGGCATCTCTTCTTTTAGAACATACAGTTGGTCACAGTGTCTGGAAAATGGAATTCAGTAAATATTGCTACATGCCATCTATTTGGAAGGCACCAATTTAGATGCTGGGAATACTAGGAATGTGTTTAGATAGAGTTTCTGTCCTTGAGACTCACACAAGTAAAGAACTTGTTGCTCTCTGGCTCTGCCAGCTTGCTGAGTCAGATAGTGGTGATGGTGCAAGACCAGATTGGTTGGCTGTAGCTGGTACAGCTGTTGGCACCAGGATAAAAAGAAGCTATTTATATAAATGTAGCAAGTTGGTATACAGACCTCTTTTTAAATTAGAGAACAAACTCTAGAATATTAATTATTTCAATAATTGAAAATTCCCCAAGATAGCATTTTCAGGTAATGACTTAGAGTTTATTCTTGGCTCTATCATTTATGTGGTAGTGAAGTTTTGCCTAAATAGGAATTTAGTGAAAGCTACCTGTAACTGTTGTTCATCATGAAAATTCTAACAATTCTAAAAACATCGATATAGAAATTTAATTCTCTCTCTGAATCTGTACTTCTTTGTATAGAAAAGTAATTCTTTGTTAGCCATCTCTTTTACACATGTGGAGGAACTGAGTTTACTGCTTAGTTGCAAAGCTGGTGTCACATCCCAGATTCCAAACATAAGGGGAAAGGAAGGTAAATAAAATGTGGCATCCCCACTCCCAGGGCTTCCACCAGATCAGTACATAGCTGACTTTATAGCACAGTGGGTCTGGGACACTTATAACCAAGATCTAAAAAAAGCATATTAGGAGATCATCTGAGAGATGTGACAGATTCCTTAAGAAAGATTCAGCAATGGGGCGATTGGCTGGTTCAGTCAGTAGAGCATGTGACTCTTGATCTTGCGGTTGTGAGTTTGAGCCCCACATCAGGCCTAGAGCTTACTCAAAAAAAAAGGAAGAAGAAGGATTCAGCAAAGGTTCCCTGAGGAGATGATATTTGAGCCAAGTCTTAGAGGATTGAGTATATGTTTTCAGTAAATGAGTATCAGAGGGCAAATCAGACAACATAAGCAGAAACAGCTGTGTCTGGGAAAGCATGATTATCAGTGGGTAAATGGCATAGTAAAAGATGGCTTTCAAAGCCACAAGGGGATGTGCCAGGTAATTTGTGTGTAAATATAAGATACAGTTGACGCTTGAACAACTTGGGGGTTAGGGGCACCTACCCTCACTCAGTCAAAATATCCACATATAACTGTCAATTCCCCAAAAACTTAACTAGTAATAGTGTACTATTGATTGAAAGTTGATTGAAAGCCTTACTGATAACATAAACAGTTAACACATATTGGTATGTTATATATATTTTATATTATATTCTTATGGTAAAGTAAGCTAGAGAAAAGAAAGCGTTACTAAGAAAATCATAAGGAAGAGGGAGGGGCACCTGGGTGGCTCAGTCCGTTGGGCATCCGACTTTGGCTCTGGTCATGATCTCACAGTTCGTGAGTTCGAGCCCCATATCAGGCTCTGTGCTGACAGCTCAGAGCCTGGACCCTGCTATGGATTCTGTGTCCCTCTCTCGCTCTGCCTCTCCATGGCTGACACTCTGTCTCTCTTTCTGTCAAAAATAAGTAAACATTTTAAAAATTAAAAAAAAAAAAATCATAAGGAAGAGAAAATACATTTACAGTTCTGTGCTGTGAAAAATCCACATGTAAGTGGACTCTTATGATTCAAACCCATGTTATTCAAGAGTCAACTGTGTATGTGTAAACTCAAGTATCACCTACAATTTGAATAGTATTTTCCTATTCATTATTTCATTTGATCCTTATTAATCCTGTCTCTGACCTAGATAGTGATGATTTAAAGAATTGAGCTTTCTAAAGGTCACACGACTGTTAAGTAGGAGCTAAGACTGGAATCAGATCTTTTCATTCTGGTCTTTTTCTTGCAGCAGTATAGCTGCCTTCCAGCAACAGCAGGCCATGGTGGTTAGAACTCTACTAAAGAAGGTCCCTCAAGCTTTTTTTAATTCCTAGAGGAACATGTGTGCAGAACTTGGCTACATGAACACATATTCACAACTGTACCTGATCTGTCACGTTTGTATTGGGAGTACTTGATGGCTCTCGTATAAGTGTCTTGCTAAGCTTTTTCTGCACAGCTGGCATAAGTGTCATACTTTAGAGCACCAGGTAGAGAGGAGGCTTCTACTTTGATGCAAAACAGATTTGAAATAAGTAAAAGATTTTCAATTGAACATAGGCTTTTAAAAATGTTACCTATTCATTCTTGCAGCACTTTTAGACTATTCATCATGCTTTTAGGGTGTATGTTTAGAATTTTAATCCCTGAAACAAGGGTTGAGACCTTGAATGATAACCTACCACCCATTTGTGATGGAACTGAAGACACGAGATTCATTGAACACATCTCAAAGTGTATTCTAGCTCATTTTCTTTCCGAATGAACCAAAAAAGGACAAAGGTGGTGGAACTTGCTGTATCACAGATGGAGTGATATTTTGGGGGCAACAAATTGGAACCTTCTAGAAAGGTTTTGTTAAAATTTTATTTCACCTTTTGAATATGTGAAAATGTGTTGCTGATGAGGCCTATGAGGGCACGTATAAAAAAAACCTTCATTTTTGCTCCATTCATTGTATAAGCCACACAATCAAGTAAAGTTCCCAAATTGTAGCCCTACAGAGGATGAAGACTGGCTATTAAATTCTTTGCCACCTATCATGAGACTTGACAGAACCTCAGTGGTGCTAGCAATAATTAAAGGGGACTGGGGCGCCTGGGTGGCGCAGGCGGTTGGGCGTCCGACTTTAGCCAGGTCACGATCTCGCGGTCCGTGAGTTCGAGTCCCGCGTCGGGCTCTGGGCTGATGGCTCAGAGCCTGGAGCCTATTTCCGATTCTGTGTCTCCCTCTCTCTCTGCCCCTCCCCCGTTCATGCTCTGTCTCTCTCTGTCCCAAAAATAAATAAACGTTGAAAAAAAAAAATTAAAGGGGACAGGGACGAAAATGCAGTCCTGGGCACCTTGAATTGTTAGATGTAAGAGATTTGCCAACTAACTCATTGATAATGTTATTTTGATTTGCCTTTGAAGGTAAAATTCTAGGTACTTAAAAAATCCTACAAGGGTACCTGGGTGGCTCAGCCAGTCGAGTGTCCAACTTTGGCTCAGGTCATGATCTCACAGTTGATGAATTCAAGCCCCGCGTCGGGCTCTGTGTTGACAGCTCAGAGCCTGGAACCTTCTTCGGATTCTGTGTCTCCCTCTCTCTCTGCTCCTCCCCCACTCATACTCTGTCTGTCTCTCTCTCAAAAATAAATTAAAATATTTTTTTTAAATGTTTAAAAAAAAACCCTACAGTTCTGCGAAGTTTTAGTATAAAGTCATTGAAAAACAACAACATATCTTATAGGCCTGGCACTCCTAGCATTTTAATGTCCCCTTTCTGGCTACCTTTAAAAGGAAGCCATGAAACATCCCAAAAAGGATTAGAAGCACTTAAAGTGAACTTAGCAGTTAGCCTAAGCTCAGATTTTATATTAACTTTTCTATATTGTGTTAAATATTAATTTCTACTCTACAACTAGAGGACACAAATAATTTTTCTTAATTTGTATTATACTATAGTTAAATATACTAGTTAAATAACTAGTATTATACTAGTTAAATAAACTTAAATATAGTAGTTTAAGTATACTTAAATATACTAGTTAAATATACTAATCCTAAGAACTTTTTAAAAAGTGTTTGCTTATTTTTGAGAGAGAGAAAGAGAATCTCAAACAGGTTCTGCACTGTCAGCACAGAGCCTGATGCGGGGCTCGAACTCAGCAACTGTGAGATCATGACCTGAGCCGAAATCAACAAGAGTTGGGTAGTTAACCCACTGAGCTACCCAGGTGCCCCTAATCCTAATAACTTGTGTTAAGCATATTTCTGTTTTATATTTATTTAACCCTCATTAAAAAAAAAATCCCATTAGAGATTTTAAAAGATTAAAGATAAAATATCCTTTTTATTTTACGATTTTTTTAATGTTTATTTTGAGAGAGAAAGAGGGAGAGAGAGAATCCTAAGCAGGCTCCATGCTGTCAGTACAGAGCCTGACACAGAGCTTGATCCCACCAACCGGGAGATCATGACCTGAGCTGAAATCAAGAATTGGATGCTTAACTGAGTGAGCCACCCAGGCACCCCTATTTTGCAGTTTTTAATAAGATGGAGTCAAGAATCATTCAGTCATTACTTGTGACTTTTAGAAATGTGGACATTCACACCTTAAGTTTTTATTATAAATTTAGTGACATTTAATAGAGAAGATATTAGTGCCCCTAAGCTCAGAAATTGAAGACTTACGGAGCTAGAAATACCTCTCATACAGCTCTCTCATTTTATAGATGAAGAATCTGAGTTTTACAGAGCCTAAGGTTTTCGTTCAGGGTAACACACAGTTAATAGCATATAAAGACTAAAGCCCCGGGGCACCTGGGTGACTCTGGGTTGAGCATCTGACTCAATTTCAGCTCGGGTCATGATCCCAGGGTTGTGGGTTCGAGCGCCTCATTGGGCTTTGTGCTGAATGTGGACCCTGCTTACGACTCTCTCTCTCCCCCTCTGTCCCTTGTCCCCACTCTCACGCTCTCACTCTCTTTAAAAAAAAAAAAAGACATGACTAAAACCCAAGTCTCCTGG